GTTCCTGATTCATGAAAGAGTCTACAAGACATTCTACAGAACACAGCAGAAAGTGACTGAACTGTCTTTAAAATTTCCTGCTTCATGGAAATGTATCTGGATACCATGGGCCTGTAGGCCGAAGATGGATGCCCCAACGGTACAGAGGAACTTTGGGTGACTGTCCAGGCAGCGAGATGTCTCTGTCATTTCTAGAGTTTTCTTATTTCTTGTTTACTTAGATAATATTATATCCTTCTGGAGTCTTTGATGGAGTTGAAGAATAAATAGTTATAGTTTTCCTTAGTTATGATAAGAGATAAAATAGATATAAATATTGTAACTGTAATTCTTACTTGATAACTGTTTTGTTATATGTAATTTTACTATGCTAAAGTTAAAGCCTTTCTTTTTTGTTTAAACGGAAAAAGGGGAAATGATGTGGGAATGATTTCTTACTAATAAAGAAACTGCCTTGGCCCATTTTATTGGATAGAAAATTAGGTAGGCGGAGTATACAGAAGAGAATTCTGGGAGAAAGAAGGTTAGAGGAGGAGTCGCCATGATGCTCCCACTCCAGACAGATGCAGGTTAAGATCCTCTCTGGTAAGCCAGCTCATGGGCTACACAGAATATTAGAAATGGGTTAGAACAATATGTAAGAGCTAGCCAATAAGAAACTGGACCTAGCCGGGCCAGGCAGTGTTTGAAAGAATACAGTTTCCGTGTAATTATTTCTGGGTATAAGCTAGCCATGCGGGCGGCCGGGTGCCGGGGACGCAGCCCCGCCGCTCCTAATTTCAACACATACACACACACATATACCTACACACACACACACCCCTGCTGCTGCTCCCAAGCTGCCGTGGACAGATATCGCCATAGTTTTCAGCTAGTATGTATGTGTGTGTGTGTACAAATACATATAAATACACACATATATACACACACATATATTATATGTATTACATATGCATGTATGCTTCATGTATAAATAGTAATTTTATATGCACATATCAATACATATGTCCAATATGTGTATGCATACAAATCTAAAATGGTTTTATGAGAGACATGCATACATTAGCAGTCAATAAGAACTCTAGTCCAGGCCATTTTCCGGTGTGTGTGCTCTACGGCTGAACAGCAGTATTTCAGTCCACACTGAAGTATGGATTCCCCATTCTGCGGGGCGAGTGGATTGTAATGACATGTCAGCGCATGAGCTTTAGTGGTTTTCCTTCAGTGGGATGCGTTGTTAGGTCAGGCTCTACATTCTTTATGTTTGACAGCAGAACCTGGTTTCTCCAGACAGGGACAGGTACATAGAGTTAGAAGGGTATTTTTCTCCATGTAATGTTAAAGCAGATGGATCAAGTTTTGGGTTTGACCTGGGTAGAAGTTCTTAAGTCTGCCACATCACTTAACTGGGACTTTCCAGCGCACTGTCCCTGGCCTGCCCCTCCCTGCCACTAGAACAGTTCCAAAACAGATGGCAACCGTTAGCCAGTGAGCATACAGAATCCTTTCTCTCAGACTTCCTCTCATTAAGTTACTCTTCCTCCTTCCTCCCTCTTAAGAGGCATGAACATTCACGTAGGATCCCAGAAAACATGGATACCATTCACCCCTGGCACGCTGTTGAAATAGGAGCGGCAGGGCTGCGTCCCCGGCACCCAGCCACCCGCATGGCTAGTTTATACCCAGAAATAGTTACACGGAAACTGTATTCTTTCAAACACTGCCTGGCCCGGCTAGGTCCAGTTTCTTATTGGCTAGCTCTTACATATTGTTCTAACCCATGTCTAATATTCTGCGTAGCCCACGAGCTGGCTTACCAGGGAGGATCTTAACCTGCATCTGTCTGGCGCGGGAGAATCATGGCGACTCCCTCTCAGCTTCTTTCTCCCAGAATTCTCTTCTGTTTTCTCCACCCACCTAATTTTCTGTCCTATGAGGGCCGAGGCAGTTTCTTTATTATTACAAGACCCACCTCCATCAGCACGCCTTTCACAATTCATCCTTGGCACCTCGTCTTGATTTCTCCTAGAGCCAAGTCGTTTGCCCGTTCTATTGGTTTTGTTTCGCTTCTCTCTTTAACTCTCTGACCTTATGGCTTGTTGAAGGTTCGGACCTGTATGCTCTAGCGACAGGACAGTTTATACTTAGCCTCCTCTTATTTAAACCCCTGCCGCCCATGTTGACACTGCCACAAAGACGGGTGTATCTGTTCGTACTACTCTATAAATGATCAACATGGGCTGAACTGCAAGTTGAAAAGTCCAAGATGAAGGCCGTTCCCTGCTTCTAAGGCAGTGCTTTGTTGTCGTGTACTCTTGGGAGGAGGGATGCTGCGTACTTCCCTACAGGACTCATGGATGCAGGAGACAGTTGGCTCAAGATTCATGTTCGAATCACCTCTCTATCTCTTAGTACCACCATCATGTTCCAACATGTGAATTTTAGAGGGCCACCGGCATTCAAATCATAACAATGAGTATTATGACCGTCTCCTTCATGTGACACTCTTGCTCATGTTTTCAACCATCCTCCATCCTCTATACTACTCTACAAACTTCAAGATGAAGACTTAGCTTCTAGGTTCAAAATACAGAGCCATGTCCCACACTTTCACCCAGTTCAACTGTTTATTGTTTCCAGAACGTACCAGGCTGTGCTATATATCTTTGTTTTAGTTCTACAGTCCTTTCATCCTAGACTGTTCTGGTACCCGCACCTGTAGACAGAGGTTCCTGGCCTCCCAGACCTTAAATAATCACACACAAATTGTGTTACTTAAAACACTGCTTGGCCTATTAGCTTATGCATATTTCTAGCTAACTCTTACATCTTAAATTAACCCATTTCTATTAATCTGTATATTGCTACATGGTTACAGCCTACCTGTAAGGTTCCATCCATCAAAAGTGCAGCGGCTACATGGCTTCTTACAGACTCCACCTATTTTCTTCCAGCATTCAGTTTAGTTCTCTTGCCTAGCTCTATCCTGCCCCGCCTTGGTCCAAGCAGCTTTTTAATTCACCAGTGGTATTCACAACATACAGAAGGGAATCCCACATCACCCACCCACCCTCTAAATCAGTGGTTCTCAGTCTTCCTAATGCTGTGAGCCTTTAATACAGTTCCTCATGCTCTAGTGACCCCCAACCATAAAATGATTTCATTGCTACTTCATAACTGTAATTTTGCTACCTTTATGAATCATAATGTAAATATCTGCTATGCAATCCCCAAGAGGGCCACAACCCACAGGTTGAGAACCATTGCTCTAAATCACTGCTCACATCGCTTAGCCTCTTAACCATAACTGCTCTGATCAAGAGGCTAGTGTGTGTGTGTGTGTGTGTGTGTGTGTGTGTGTGTAGAGAAGCAGGTGGAGGGGGTAGGTCTCTGGCTCACTCTCCATCCATAGGAGTTAGTGTGCTGAGATACAAGCTATGTATCCCAGAGAATGAATGCCTTGTCTCTTCTTTATGAAGGACACTGCATGTGCTGGCTGCGACACTCCTCCACAGACAGAAGTTGTCACTTCCTCCTCTGCTTCCCACCTACACCCGTGTGCAAGGCAGCCACAGATGGAACCTAACAGTGAGGTGAGAGAAGAGGGAGGGGGTGGAAACCCAAATCCCTTGGGGTCAGTAAGAGCTATGCTATCAAGTCCCTGCCTCAGAACTGTAAAGTCAAGCAGTAGGCACTTAAAAGACAACTACCGAATAAAACAAAAGTGTAGATTCACTGTAGTTCAGAGAGCCGTATTGCTAAAGATGACGGGTGTATTCATCGGAGGCTGTTTGCAAGCAAGCTATGTGCCGAGACTTTCACATCTGATGAAACGAGGTCTGGCTCAGCGAGTCAAGCCAGTGGTTCTCCCGTTGATGACCAAGTACTCTTGAGACCTTGTTAAAGCATCCTTGGGCAGAGGGACCGCCTTTTACAATTCTTCCAACCCCAGTCCCTCAGTCTGGAGGCCTCACCACAGGAGACGGGCTGGAAACAAGTTGTGGTCTTGTTCTGTGTTTAGATTTCTGCTCAGGGAAGGGCACTTCCTTTCTTGTTTGTGAGAGCTAAGTGTCACATTCCGGACAGGAAGGATCGAGGTAGAAAACGCTGTGATAGGTGCGTGAAAATGTGAGCTGCCGAACTGAGGAAACACACACCTTGGCTGCAGGCAGGGGCTGGTGACTATGTCCGCAACATCGTTTTCTTCTGTGAGATGCAGTACTTGGAAGGTTTTGTTGATTTCTGTGTAGTCTGTTATGTTTGGCAAGGCCCTCTAGCTAGGGCTGCTTAAGGGCTAGATAATTTGTATATTCTTTAGAAGAGAGTAGAATACATAAAAGCTTCAACTGTCCCCTTACACCCTCCCTAACCCCCCATGCACTCCCACCCTTTGGCCACCCCACCCCCACCCCCACCACAGTTATCTCAGGGCGACCAGAAGCAGGGGGCACTGGCTGAGAAACTGCCAGACCAAGCAGGGTCTTTGTCTGCTCCACTTCCACCACAGAACGCGCCAGCAGGGCTGTCTTCATCTCCTTTAAGGAAGGAGAAAGTTCCTAGAAGAACACTGCACATTTCTGAAAAGCATCAGATGGAGGAAACTAAAGAAAAGAAGATGAAGATCAAAGATGGATGAGGCCATGCAAGCCTACATCCCTGCACTTGCAGAAGGAGCCCCAAGGACCGAGAGTTCAAGAGTACATAGCAAATTTGAGGCCACCCTGCATTACATAAGACCCTGTCTCAAATGACTAAAAACAGAACAAAAGACTATGAAAGCCACATCTCTTGTGGAATTAGAAATTTGGCTTCTGCTTGAAACAATTTTCCTTTGCCCAACACTGACAGATCAAAAAAAAAAAAACCCAACTAAACAAACAACAAAAAAGAGAGAGAGAGAGAGAGAAGAAAAGAAAAAGAAAAAAACTACATGCACAGTTTGTTTATTCTCTCTCTTACATCTTAACTTGGCATTTCTTTCAAGTACCACATCTAGTAAATGTTATTTAAATAGAAAGAGGGGGGGATCATTAATGACTGCCAGAAAACCATTCCCAGCCAGCCAGCCAAACCTCAAGCATCCAAAGATATGATTTCATTTTTAATCACATAACGAGCTGAAGAATATCAAGTAGAAACATAACGAGGAAGAAAGTTCTTATTCATTCGAAACCTCTGTCAGTAAGATTCCCAATTTGGGGTTATTTGGTGAAGACAGATGACAAGATAATCAGCAGATCAAGGATAGCATCAGAGCCCGGTGCCGACAAGCACGTGAGAGGATGCTAGCCATCAGTGATCGCTAGCCTGGAGCACGACCGCTTCTACTCCCAGCCTTGGAGTGCCTGCACTTCCTTCTTCCGCAGAATGGATCCCTCAAGCTCAGACTGTGGAGCAAGAACCTAGAGAAGGCAGAAGGCAAAGATGCCCACGTTATGGCCCACGTTCTGTCAGCATTGAGTCTTAAAATGAGCACATCAAGTGGGGAGCCCAGCTAGCTGCCTCAAACCTGAGCGGAGGGCCTCCGTGTTCCTCAAGCTGGGAGGAGAAGCCCAAAATTTCTTAAGGGCTGTCCTTCCCACTAAGTTGTCCTTACACGTGCCCCAGTCTAGGAGAAAAGGCTTAGGCTCCTTGCATAGCCCATACTGTGATGTTGTTGTTTCCAAAAACACCTGGGTATATCCCTCTTGCTTCATTTAAAATGTGAACTATAATATGGTACACCTATGTTTTCTTTCCTTCCTGAGATGTGGGGTTTTTAAAGCGACATTCTCTCCCCATTCCTGTCCTAAGCATAGAAGCGGGAGTGTGGTTTTCCTCATTTATGTAAGTGCTCGTATTTTATTTTTTGATCTGAAGAATTCAGCTCACTTCTGTTACTCTAATCTGGGATTAGAAAATCCTTACCATGTTTTAGTATTAACAATCAGACTAGATCATAGCACTTTCTAGGATACAACAATGAGCAATTTTTAAATTTTTTTAAAAGTGTTATTATTCTTGTGTGGGGTCAGCAGTGCGAACATGTCATGACAGTCATGTGGCGGTCCACGGGCAATTCTGTGGAGTGAGTTCTCTCCTTCTACTTGTGTGTGGGCTCCAGGAATCAACTGGAGTGGTCAGGCTTCCGTGTCAGAGACTTCTAGCTGCTGAGTCATCTCGGGGATCAGCAATTTTACGAAGAGAGAGGACAATTACACCTGTACCAATGTTTGTAATACACTGATGTGCGTGCAGACCACATGGGGAGCATGGACAGAAGCGATTCCTCTTTAGCTGTTCTGTGGAGGGGCCCGAGAGACTTCTCTTCTAACACACTCCTGGTCCAGCGCTCTTTGGTATGCAAACAGCGGCTTGTCCCAGACAGAATATAATTTTGTCTCCAGACACTTAAGTCAGTAACTTAAACTTGCTGGCACCAGGAAGCAAGGAAAGCCCATTGCCTTTGCTTTTCTTAGTTATAAGGTATAACCCAGGGGCAGCCAATAAGGATTATCGGCTGAGGTGAGGGCTCTGCCATTCACCACAGGCCTAGCGCCTAGGTTCTTCCATCTTTCTGCTTTGCTATCCTGAGTATGGTTTAAGTCCCCAAACATCCTCTTGTCCCATGGGTATGGTGGCTGTTATCATGTCTGTATTCTATAGTTAGTAGCAGAGGAAGCATTGAGGATAAGCAGGAATGCAGCTGGGTTAATCTCTTCTAAAGGCATGGTCATGAGGTGCCCTCTCCATAACTTTCACTTACATCTCATTGTCTAAAATGTAGTCATCTGTCTAAAGGAAGAATTGAAAATGTTGCTTTTCCAGTTAGCAATGCGGGGTTGATGCTTACTTGATAAATACATAGTAAGGGCAGGAAAGAGCCAGGTAGACTTTAGTACTCTGAGTCACATGAGATAATTGTAGGTTCCCTATTAGTCAGCTATGGCCTTGCCCTCTGGACCATGCCCCCACTCTGGCATGACAGCTATACTGCCCAAGTCAACAAGAGGCTAGCTATCAGTGTAGCAATTCTGTATTGCTGGCTTCCTCGACTCCTCTCTTGACGGAAGCCATCGTCACTCTTAGTTCTAAAACTTGACGATTCAGAGTACCAGTCCATCCTGTCTCTTGCTGCTACTTTGAACAGCATACCTAGCTTTGTTGAGGTTTTATTTGTATCTTTGGGTTCTCAGATGCTAGGGGACCCTGTTACTGTCACACCAGCCAAGATCCTGGCTCAAGGAGACCGCCATAGCATCCAAAATTATTATCCCTGAGGTTGTGGTATATAAATAAGGGACTGAGTCCAAACGTCTTCCCTTCTTGGTGCCAGTCAGTTCATTCCTGGGCATTAGTCGTGATAGCCAAGGTAAAGAATCTAAGTGAGCCCATTGATCTGAGCATGAGCAATTGGATCTCTGCCCAGCACTTCCAGGGAACAGGAAGAAGCCAAGAAGCACTCCACACTCCCTAGAGGGAGGATTCTGAAGAGATTAAAATCATGGCCTTTCCTGAGGCTCTCAGGTGGTGTGGAAAATGTAGGCAAAGTGTTCCTTGGAGGCTTCTCCCTGGACCCTGAGTTCAGAGGTGGAAGGCGGAGGACGTGCAGGCTGGAATCACCAGTTGAAAGCAAGGCACTCATTAATCTCCTTTGCCTCACACCACGAGGGATTTTTTAAATTAATATATTTTTTAAATGTATGGGTGTTTTGTCCGCATATATGCTTGTGTACCATCCGTGTGCCTGGTGCCTGTGGAAGCCAGAAAAGGGTGTTGGATTCTCTTTTTGAAGACAGTTGTGAGCTGCCATGTGAAGTCTGGGAATTGAACTCAGGTCCTCTGGAAGAGCAGCCAGTGCTCTTAACTGCTGAGCCATCTCTCCAGTCCTCATATCAAGAAATTTATTTCACTGTCTTGGACACAGGGGCCTTCATCTTTCACTTGCATCTAAATTGGGCTAGCGTGTGACCTTTTAGAAAGGGGGAAATCCCAGGCCAGTTCTAGATCATTCAAGTCAACACACTTTCTACTCAACTGTCATTTTTATTGAAGCCTGCTGGAGATCACATACTATTTTTATTATGTTTTCCATCTCTGCCTCTCCTACCTCCTGTCACTGAAGCTAGGCTATCCAACCCTTCCTCCAGTGCTCAACATTGCTATTACCTGCTGAGGTCTATATCATCAGAAAATTTCCTTCAAGAAATTCAGCACTAATAAAATATCTGAAAGCCCATTCTCCCAACTTTGAGGGACATTTGATGAAAATGAATTCTGATACGAACAGTTATTCAATATGTAGAAGAGATCTATAGATAATATTTCGTTCATGATTATAATAAGAAAACAATGAGAATCTGAGCTTAGAAATTTGCAGATGGCTCTGTTTTGTGTCCCTTCTTCAGGTTCAAAAGTCTCAGAATCCTCTTCTCAAGTCTCATACCCCTAAGCACTTCCGGGATGGATTTTCCTTTTAGATGTTCTGCGTGTATTCTTCTTCTCGGGTAGAATAGATGTTTATTTTCCAGTGCTACACATCCGCCAATCCACACTGGTTCCCAGTTGACTTTGTCAGCGATGACCTTTGACCAGTGTGTGTATTTGGCCATTTCTTTATATTAATCTATCTTCAGTTGTAGGCTTAAGATAAGAAGTAAGGTTTCCATAGTGTATGCACTCAGGACACAAGGACAGATGTTGTAGTGGTTAAAAAAGACCAGAGAGTGACCAATGTGGAGCCCATGTGCTTATATAATAAAGTAGCATTCACTTAACCTCTGTGTGCCTCTGTGAAGACTGAGTTAATATATGTAGAATGCTTATTATCTGAGCTAGGTATTTCCGTAGGTGTATAGATGTTAGCAATTATATCTATTAATTTAAAATAGGTTCCATTGTTTGTTTAAATGGAGTCCCCTTAAGAATAAATAAGCAGCAGTTATTTTTTAATGCAGTTTTGGTGCAGCATCTATGGGTCTTAAGTCTTCTCCAAAGGCCGCGTGTCAAAGGCTTGTTCCCCATCCCTTGATACTGTTGGGAGGTGGTAGAACCTGTGGTCACAGGCAGCATGCTCTTGAATTGTTTCCCACTACCATAAGGTGAATCATTTCCTCTACCACGTGACCCATATGCTATGCTGCCTCACCACAGATCCCAAAGCAATGGGGGAAACCGACTATGGACTGGAGTATCAGAAACCATGATCTGAAATTAACCTCACCTTCTTATAATTGGATTATACCAGGCATTTCTCCATGCAAAAGTTTATTAATACATGATACAAGTCTAAAAGTCAGGAGGGTGGTCAAATTCCAGCACGGAAGGGGCGGGGCTCACTAGTCCCCACCTCCAGCTGCGAGAGTTGGTGACAGTCATTGATACTAAGGTAGGGAGAATCAGATTTTTCAAAGGGTGTGGCCCCTGGCAGGTCACTCACGCTCCAGTGGAGGGTCACACATCTATGAGTATATTGGCAACAAAAATTGAACTCAGTGAGTTACTGTAGAGGGGGTGACCTGGGGGGGGGAGTGAAGTTTGAAGAGGGTTTAGAACTGGATCTGGGAGAGTTATGTGGAGGAATAAAGGTGAATATGATAAAAATACATTGTGTGAGCATCATTGAAATGCTCAAAGCTTAATAAAAGTGCTATACTGAAAAAGAATTGGGGCTGGGAACAAAATCAGAGCGAGGCTAGCCGAAGGTATCGACGGAGCGTGTGTGAACTGTTTGCGTGTTTCCTTGTTGCTTTATCAACGTGCTTAGGAATAACATGATGCTGTGTCAGTTCTGTGCTCTATCAAGAGGGTTTTTCCCCCAACTGAAAGTTTTATTCCTCAACTTAACTTGTCATGACAAAACGTTCTATTGTTAAAATGACTGTACCAAGAAAGACTTCATCAAAATGTCATGTGCCTAGTTATTTGGCAGGCAAGCATTGTTTCAGCTTGAATGTTAACAAATGAAAGCTCTCAGCCCGTGCAGGGTGACCTCTGAGAATGCCTGCCGGAGCAAGAGAGGTGGGAGGATTGTGTGCTCTTGACTGAGACAGCCTGGAAAACTTCATAAGCTAAGCGGGGCTGTGGCTGGGTGTTCCATAGTCCAGAAGTCAAGAAGTCAAGAGAGCTGAGCCACCCACTGAGCCCTGCTGCAGAGCTGGCTTTTGGTTCAGTCATTCGGGTTTGGATGGAGAGCATGGGGCTTTCCCACCCGCATCTCTGTCTATGATGTGACATACAGCTGCAGAATCTGAGCATTCACTTCTGTGGGATGCAAAGGACACCAGATCTCCCTTGTCCGTGACATTGCAGGGCAGTTTTACCTTGAGTGCTGTCACTGGGACCAAAGACATCGTTGTAGAGCCCAGGCTAAGATGAAAATGTGGGAGTCAGTGTTCAGAGTTGTTAGAATTGCTAGTGGACAACTGACGAGCATTGAACCAAGTGTAGGTGCGGAGTTCACAAACCCACGAGTCAGCTCCATCTGCCATAGGTCAGATAGGGCCTGGGAGATGGCACCCAAAGCAGAATGTGACACATGGGTGCTCACTGGGAAGATCTGTAAGGAGTCAGGGAAGCAGGGTCAGTCATGGAATGAGCCGCATGTCTATGCAGTAGCAACAGAGACCACTGTGGATCCCACATGTTTGCCCCTAAACAGTCGAGAATTTAATCTCCCTATCCCACCACTTTGTACTTCTAACAGTTGTTGGACACAAGCTGTCTAGGGTCGGGGCATGACCTTGACTGAGGTAGAGGTCTTTAACCAAGGGCTGTTCCTAGGGGGACACAGCCCAGCACTTCACTTGCCATAGCTGGGTGAATGAGTACTTTATCCTGAAGCACCACTGCATGCGCTCCGCATCCAACTACATCCATTGATGAAGTTATTTTCAATTCCTAAAAGAGTTGGCAGTTGATTGACCTACTGGGAGCAATGTGACAAGGTCACCTTAATAAACAAGACAAACAGCAAAGAAAGAGAATAGCCGGAAATGTGCCTAGAATGTGGTGCACAGGGCAGAAGACTCGGACGTTGAACTTGCGGAAAGCGGAGCAGGCGCCACAAGATTGTGGCTTGTATTCTAGGGGTTTTGACTGTATACGTTTTCTTTGATTTCCCCCTTCACTGCAGAGCTGGCATTTTCAAGTTGAAGTCTGCTAAAGAATAAGGAGGGAAACAGAACCAACATTTTGCCCGTGATGAACTCCAGAGACAGGATCAGGGATCCTCCAGATAAGACAGGGAGTGGTGGTGGGCACCTTGGAAATGGAAGAGTCAGGGATACAGCCTGAAAAACAATGAGGACATGATGCTCCTAGGTATGACTGGGAGGTTTGGTGTAGATGTAAGGGAGAGCACAGCCAGGGGATCTGAAAGAGTCCAGCCTGAACCGGCACCCCTCCCATGGGAGGAGTGAAGGGGAAGAGAAAAGAGAAGGCAAGAGTGGGGACCAGGAACCAAGAGGCCAAGAAACCCATGGGAACCAAATGATTGAGATTACACAGGAAAGAGAGCCTGGGGAAAGGGAAGCTGAAGCCCAGCCGCTGAGAGGGAGAAGTTTCCGGTGCGGGTGGGGGCAGGGTGAGATGTGATGGGAGGAGCCACAGAATAAGTGAGACTTGTCCCAAAGGTGGCCACTCAACCCTGTAAACTCTGTCTTGTCCGGATCAAGGAATTGTTCTCTGGATTGCCGAGATTTAAGAATCAGTTTTATATCCCAGAACGAAGATTTCGGAGATAGTGAAAGTCCTACTTGTAGTTAGGATGGTGCTATATTGTTACTGTTATCAGACTGGTAACAATTAAAAGTAAAGACTGTGATATGCATAATTGTAACAATATTCTGTACCAAATGCCCACCTCAGGTCAACTAATCTTTGAGAGTCTAGGAAGCACCAGTTGTGTTTATGTCTACCTTTAAGGACGAGAAAGTGCTCTGGACACAAAGACCAGAAATGAAACTACTATAAAAACAGGGTTTTCGCTCATTTAAAATTGCAAAATTCAGTTAAAAAAAAAATTAGCAGCAGCTGGGGAAGTGACTTGATAAAGTGCCTGCCACACAAGCCTGAGTGTTGAAATAGGTAGCGGCAGGGCTGCGTCCCCGGCACCCGGCCGCCCGCATGGCTAGCTTATGCCCGAAATAATTACACGGAAACTGTATTCTTTCAAACACTGCCTGGCCCGGCTAGTTCCAGCTTCTTATTGGCTAGCTCTTACATATTGTTCTAACCCATTTCTAATATTCTGTGTAGCCCACAAGCTGGCTTATCAGGGAGGATCTTAACCTGCATCTGTCTGGAGCGGGAGAATCATGGCGACTCTTCACTCAGCTTCTTTCTCCCAGCATCCTGTTCTGCTTTCTCTGCCTACCTAAGGGTTGGCCTATCAAATGGGCCTAGGCAGTTTCTTTATTAGTAAGAAATCACTCCCACATCATTGGGCGCCATCTGTTGAAATAATAGGAGCGGCAGCGCTGTGTCCCCAACACCCCGGCCGCTTGGCTAGCTTATGCCCAAAATAACAACACACAAACTGTATTCATTTAAGAACTGCTTGGCCCATGAACTCTAGCCCTTACAGGCTAATTCTCGCACCTGGACTAGCCCATTTCTAATAATGCATGTAAGCACCCCAAGGTGCGCTTACGGGGAAGATTCTAGCCTCTGTCCATCCTGGGAGAGTTGAGCATGGCGTCTCTGCTCCAGCAGAGCTGTCGGGTCTCTCCGGGAGCAGAGCAGAGTCTGACCTCACTTCCTCTTCCGCCCAGAATTCTATTCTGTTTCCTCCTCCCATCTATGTTCTAAGCTATGAGGCCAAGCAGTTGGTTTATTACTTAACCAATGAAATCAACAGATTGATATATGACACTCCCACATCACCTGAGGACCTGAGTTCAGATCACACACACACACACACACACACACACACACACACACACACACGAAGAAAGGAAAGGCTGGGCATGGTGGCACATCTGTAACTAGTTCTGGAGGAAGGAGGGTGACCCAAAAGTCACTAGCCGGCCAGTCTACCCAATCAGTGAGCACTGGGATTAGTGGGAGACTCTCTAAGTTACTTCATATTCTATAAAGCTGACTTCCCAGGCTGAATATCGCCAGAGACTCCACTTTGAAAGGAAAAGATGGCTACAGACTCTGGGTGGACTCCGAAACTGCACCATCTGCCAGGCACCGCCCACCAGCGCAAACTGATAGCTACTTCATTCTGTTTGACTGCAGAAAGAGACTGTATGTCTGATGAGGAGATGCCTTTACGTCCCGTTCATTTTTTACCCCCATCGGCTACCAAAGAACTCTAGATCTACTGGGAGAATCTGTTAACTAAGTGAGGGAGGCCCGCTTTGCTGAAGGCAATGTCGGGTTCCAGTGGTATCATAGCTGGGAATGCTCAGCCGGAAGGATTGCAGGTGCTGCTGCCGGAGGGATGCCCGCCTCAGTCACAGGGTTGGCGCCGGCGCCGAAACTCTGTTTGCCCAAGTTCTGGTGGTTCGACAAAGCCAGCCTTTCCTTGGGAACTTGTGAAACTGGTTCTCTCTTGCCAAAAGGAGTCATTCTCCTTATCTAGCAAAAAGGGTATAGGTTCTTCCATTTACGTGTGCATGTAGTGCCGATCTGCATATCAAGGTTCCTGCCGGTCTCCCGGCTCTCCCAGTCCCTACTCACAAGTATACACTCCAGCTACCCCAGTATGGCTCCTTTTGTCCCAGGTAACGTGTTCCCTTACAACCTTGGAGATTCTCCCCGCTCTCGCTTCTCTCAGCCTTGGCAGTTTGGAATAAACCTTTCCCCTTTCCACCCACTGAGCGGCTATTTCGGTGTCTTTACTGAGCCCCTCGTCATTTACATAGCACTTCGTACATTTCTGGATGGGGGAACTATAAATAAATGAGTCTTCTCACTGGGTGAGAGGCTCGGTGACAGCTCAGGTTTACCTCCTCTGTATGTGTTTGCACACACGGGACCTCAGAAAATGTTTGCTGCCCCACCCTGTGAGGTTAAATACATATTCAAATCATAAGGGTGCCCTCCCTCGGTGATTAAGACTTTCTTCTCTAAGGGGTTACCCGGAAGGGTCCCAGTGCTCAGTCACCAGGCAGGCTGTGTCTCAGTGCTTGCAGTACCCAGGATGGATGTCTTATTTTTCTATCCACTCTTGGGCCGGGAAAGAGATATTAAGTAACCCGACCAAAGGCCTAACGTTACAAAGTATTTGACTTTAGGTTCAAATAGTATCAGAGGACTAGATTCAACAGGCCAGGAGTAAAAGCACAGGACGGCCACTCTGTCCCATGTGTAACTGGTTCCTGAAGTCTATTCTCTTGCAGAGGCTTGTCTGCAGCGCAACCCATCCAGACAAAGCTGTGGTTCCTATTTCAGCAACTATCCAACTCCATCCTGTCTTGCTGAACGTTGGTTAGTGCCTCATGTGAGATGTTACTGAAGTTTCTAAACCATCTGAGTGCCTCCTTTTCAGGATTGCAGTATGTTTTTTAAAGTCTTGGATCATACTGAAGTCCTCTATAAAACCACCGCCCAATTGGGAGGCAAATCACAAGCTTTTGGGTCCTTCTGATTGCAACTTAAGGCAAGATTTTTAATGATTTAGGACACGGGACTCACTCGGAAACGTGTTAAGATGGGCCAGTTCTCAGGTTCCACCTTTACTCATGCTCACCTGATCTAGGATGGAGACCAGACATCTGTTTTTCTAGCTAACAAACCACAATACTACTACGCATTTGAAAGAAATATTGCCAATGTGCCCAAGGTCTAAATAAATATAATTTGTATTTTCTTTTACAAAAAGCAATATCTTTTGATCTTTGAGAATTTCATACAGTGTATTTTGAACATATTTATACCTAACTCCTCCCATTACCACCTGCTCCACCCCATCCCTTTCCACCCAACTTTGAGATTTCTTCTGTTTGCTTTTCTGTTAGTTTCTATCCAGTCCACTTTATGTTGCCCAGATATTATTAGGAGTAGGCTCTGTCTTGGTGTGTAGTCAATCAGCAGCTATCAGACACCCATAGGTCCTCAGCAGCAAATGGTAGGATTTCATGTCTTTCTCCCCTCTTCGGTGCTGGGTTCTGTCTGCCTGGACAGTGTGCAGGTTTTCTGTAAGTTAATGTCACAATAGCTGTGCATTCATATGCACTGTCCCCTTGGTGTTACCAGTCACCTCCAGCTCTTAAGTTCATCCTACTCCCTCTTCCGCGATCCCCTTGGGAGGGGGTGATGTGAATGCTCTGTTTAGAACTGAGCAGTGAACGGTCTCTCATTCTCTGCACATTATGGGGAGTCTCTGAGCTAACTGCCGTTTACCACAAGGAAAAGCTTCGCTAATGAGGACTGAGATGTTCTGATTGGTGAGTTTCAAAGAACCTTGCACCAATCCCCTCGTTCCTCCCTGAGCTGAAACAGATCTCTCTGACGTGCAGGTCACAGTTCCCTATAATAGGTGCAGCCCATTTCCCTTCTCAAGGACTCTATGGGGTCTCTAGAAAAGCGACACCTCCACAGCTTGCTGCTCCCTTCGCTCACCCTGCCTGGGTGTGATTTGTCCCTGTCAAGCCTGCCAAAATACACAGACACGTTGAGACGCTGGTCTGATTTCCATCCCCTGCTGGTGCCAACAACTCACTGAGGTCAATAAAAAACTCCCCCAGTTCCTTCAGAGGAAGCCAGCTATCTGCAAGACTTCCTCTGTTTTCCTGAACTCAGTCTTGGCATCTCCACCAAGGACATATTTTGTCTGGATCCACTGGTTGGACTTCTTCACATCTCTGGGAAGCCACACAAAGAGGAACATAGCCCAAGGGATGGAAGGGGAGCAAGAGTTTGAAGGGAAAGGGATCCAGGGACCGGGTGCAGATTGGACCAGTGGCCAGTGTCTTTCTGAGACCAATAGGAATCTCCCAGTCTTTTTACAATCAGTCTGCTAGCAGGTGCAAGGACATGCCAGCCTCCTTAGAGTCCCTATTTAACTCAATTCTATGAGCAGAAAGATGGAAAGAATTGGGGCAAGAAGGGTCTCTTTGTCCATGAGGTTCAGTGTACAGTAGAATCTGTTCTGGGCCTATTCAGGCTATGTCATAGAGCCGAAACATCCAGACAACAGCATTCATGGACAATGAATGTGTCTTAGTCCATTCTGTTTCTGTAGCTCAATGTCATAGACTGGGTGATTTATAAAGGATAAAGGCGTATACAGTTCATGACTCTAGAGACTGGGAATCTAGGGTTAAATAGCTTTAACAGTGATGGTCTCCTCCCTACTGGGGACCCAGTGGAGTCCTGAAGACAGTGCAGGCCACTGCTTCACAAGAACACACACAAGAGCTAGAGTAGAACCTCAGTTTTATAACATTCATTCTCAAGTTACTGCATTTGCGTCTATCTGTGTAACTCCACTAACTCCCAAATAAACTAATCCACTCTTGAGAGCTGAGCACTCATTCATGTCTTAAAAGTCCCATTTGGTTGTTAGCAATGTAAGTCTCTTAGCACTTCACATAGGGATAGTATTTCACCAGGAGTTTTGGTGAGGGACACTAAAAACACAGCACAACGGCTATGGTTATTGTGGCTATTGTCCCAGTCACATGTACAAATTAGTCACGCTTTCTCTTTGGAGCTCACATCTAGTTAGGAAATTCTTGCCAATAATTTTTGCTACAGTTCAAATTCCTTTCCTCTGAGATCCTACTTCCTGACTTCTTTGTCTTTAAGCTTGCTTTCATGGATTTTTTTTGTTGTTGTTGTTATTGTTGTTTCTTGAGATAGGGTCTCCCATAGCCCAGCCTATCCTAGACTTTGCTGTGTAGTTGAGAATGACTTTGAATTTCTGTCCCTCCTGCATCTACATCTCAGATGTTGAGATTATAGGTATGCATCACCATGCCTGATTTATGCCGTGGTGAGGGTCAAATACATTGCCTGTGTGTGCCAGGAAAGCATTCTACTGAGCTACCTGCCTACCCCAACTCTTCCAGAGGATCCTTCAGTTAATGGCGGTTGCTCAGATGCTCTGCAGATGGTAGCATCTCCTCAGACTCATCCAGGGAAGCAGAAGGACATTTTCACCTTTACAGTTACTATTCATCCGGAGTGGAGGCTTCCACACAACAGGTGGAACGGTGGATGCTCAATAAAAGTCACACACCTAGTAGTATTGTGTGAAGGAGCGTGAGCTCACGCGCATGGACTCCACCGCCTGGTATTTATTTATTGGCAGAGAGAGGGTGAGTGGGGAAAAAAAAGAAATAGCTGCTCCTCGGTATGGTGGAGGAGAACATTTATTGTAAATAAAAGGGAGAGTGTAGTTAGAGGCAGGGCCATCTGGGAGAGCCCAGAGTGGACAGGACCAGATGGAGCTGGGCCATGTGGGAAGAGGGGGAGGGGACGGAAGAGGGGAGAGAGGGGAACCAGGTGCAGTAATCAGGAGGCAAACGGTTCAAAGAGGGTAGGTAACCAAAATGTCTGGATTGTATAGGGACGAACCTCTGGGGGAAGGGCAGCCCAGCCCCTGGGCTGGAGAGTTTAGGGTATTGGATGGGGTATTCTAGCCATACCCTGTTACAGGTAGGGACCCTGAGGGATGCTGGGAGAACCTGTTGGCCAGGTATGCTTCCATATGTTAAATAGGTACCTCAACCATTTGTCCCAGGTTTGAAAGGTGAGAAGCAATTAATCAGTGGGTGGAACAGCCACTGGGACAACAGCCTGTCTCAGAGGTGTGAACTTTGACCCTCTGAGAGCAGCTTATCCATAAAGTCAGCCTGGATTTTCCTACTCAGTCCCTGTGAAACCTCTTTACAAGGAGAT